TGTCGTCGCCTGGGTAAAAGATTGTCGTAAGTGCCATTTTGACGATTTTTTGTTCTAGATGCAGTTATATATTTTAATATAAGGTCTTTCGAATGGTGTTATCAGTTTTTAGATATCTCCTATAGTTTCCGAGATATTGACTGCAATTTTTTCGATAATTTAGTAAAAATTTAGTTAGTGATGCAGCCATATTAAACTAATCAATATCTTAAAAATGGCGTTCTCCATTTTTGGATATCTCCTTTAGTTTCCGAGATATTGAATAAAAAGTGTTGTTAATTTGGTAGAAATTTTGATCACATTTTGTCGTATTGGCGTGTGGCGGCCAAATTGTGGACAAATGACGCTTACGACAAAATTTTACTAAAGAAAATCCTTCATATACTCAAAACTAATTAACAAAAAACATTAAAAATTAAATAATTTAAGAATTTTGTAAACTAGTAACATTTTAAGAGACTTTGGAGAAAATCTATCTTCGCGTTTTTGAGAAATCGCATTCCAAACTTCAATCGGGATTTCCCACAACCTGCCGAAATTAACATACGACAATCTTTTACCTAGGCGACGATGTGTTCAAAGTAAAGTACATCCTACGCTCGCATGATTCAATAATACAAGGTTCGATAAACTGACAGTTGTCTCTCTCGCACCGCTCCCTTAGCAGTGGCACCGTGTTGCTTCTTTGCAAATTTACATGGAAACAGTGTAGCTTTGGTGTGAAATAAAAGTATACGATTTTGTGCAATATGTTTATTTGTATATGCATATGAAGCATATTTAACTGATGAAAATATAAGCATTGGATATTTACATCAATCTCATAGTAGTCTTATTTTAATTTTGAGTCATTTTGCAGTTTTTAAACAGCTAAATAGCATATAAATTACGTAATTCACGTAGATATATCAATATTACATTCATCATTTCGTTTGAAATGCCAGATTTCCTGCAAATACATTAGAATTTACAAAAGGAATTTCACTACTAATTGCCTACTTTGCGTACTTTTCTAGTACCATTTTTGCAACAAGGGATTGCATTCTTGCCCTTTCTCTGTCCTTCGTAAATGCAACCTTTTGTAAGGGAGTGTCAAACCGCAGCTGTCAATAATTATCTAACCTTGTATTATTGAATCATGCTACGCTCGTAGATATTCGAAACCAGTGATAGCATTTTCGTAGATTAATCGAGACTTAATTCCTTTAGAACCGTTTTCTTTTTGACTTTAAAGCTCACTATATTTAAATGTTGCTTTAAAACTTATAGTTGTGTCTAAAGTAATGTATTTTGTTATCGGTTCTTAATTTGTTTACAACCAAGAAACATACATACATACATACATTAAATACCAGCAATCTTGAAATATAAAGTGAGCCCCTAAGGTAAAGGTTGCCTGAGAAAACGGCCCTTAGTGTTTTATACCTTTCACCTTAACCTTTAAATTCGCAAAAACAGATGATTTTATCACCTTACAATTTGCCTTGCAATCCTTTTGTTACTTCTCTATTTGAAAATATGTCATAATTAATACAAATTATCAGCTAATCGAACAACCTCTAACTAAAATTTATTTCGCAAATATGGCAACACCAGTGTTACTGTCAGCTGTTTTTGGCACATCTCTTGGCTATCAATCATATGTTTGTAAATTCATCAAAAGAGAAAAAGCGAAGAAAATTTGCGTTCGTGTGTTTTCCTGTAATTTTATAAATAATAATCAACTAAATTTTTAATGCCGGTAAACGAAAATAGCAGTATTAAACGAACATTATAAATAAAAATCAAAACAAGGTGCAAAGATACCACAATGTGATAATTTTCATCAAAGATTCAATACTGTGGAAAAGAAATATGTACTACATAGTAATCCCTCGAGAAGTCCATTAACAAAAACGACTTTGAAATACTCTCCGTAGCTAAAGTCAAATTAGATAATAAGTGTGTGAATAAATAAAAAAAAGTTGAAATGATAGGGTTTGCTCTGGGTTTTCGGTCGTATATGCATAATAAATAAACGCCGATATTTACTTTTACGTATGTATGTGTATATGTACTAGAGACCTGCACAAGTAGGTACAAATGGAACACGTTAATAATCGCCGAGTATGAACAGAAACGATGGCAATACTTGAATTTAAAGGAGCAAGTGCAGAACACGTACATTTCTCAAAAAAGGGCTCTACAGAGGAATTTACATTGATTAGCACAACATCAATTTTTTTTGGGGGAAACGAAATTTAGTTTTATTCAAGGTGAAAGGGTCTAAAAATGGATTTCTGTAAACTTGAATATCTCGCAAACTATTAAAGACATTTTTTTCCCTTTTATGTACAAAATATTATTCTTTATTGATAAAATTTATGAAAAAACACTATAAAAAAAAAATTCTTTAAAAATAGAGTTTTTTCAGTAAAAATCCCTTCATTATATATAAATACCGTAGTTATAAAGGGTGTAAATCGATTTTTAATTTGATACACAATTCATATCTGAACAAACGCAGCATTTTTGGGCAGCATCTTTCTTTCTGCGTAGAGGGCATTCGGCCGCTCTTAGGGATTATAACCAGGGTTGTCAGGTGTCCGGTTTTTGACCGGACAGTCCGAATTTTAGTCTGTTAGTCCGAGGGAAAATAAAAAACGGACTGTAAAGTGTGTGATCTGTTTAAACCAGTGATGGGCAGCGCAGGTGGAACTCTATAAGCATGTTCAAACGTTGTGTACATGCTTATGGAGTTCTGCCAACGTTACCCGTGCCTGGCTTAAACACACACATACACAACACTCCATCCCCCCTCCCCTCCCAGTTTCAACCCCTCGGCAAACGAAAAATGTTCGGTTTTTCAAAAACAACCTGGCAACCCACAACCTGGTAACCCTGATTATAACCCTTAAGCCTGCTGTACAGTTCAAAGCGAGCGTGAACACAAGCTTTTTATTTTGACCAATATCTTCGTTATTACTTAACTTTTTTGCAATAGTTGATAATTCAAAAGATAGAGAATTAAAATATCTTTCAGAATTATAGAAAAAATACTAATTTAAAATGCATAATATGCCATTTTTTCAAGCTCACACTCAACTTTGAGCGCACGTAAAGCATTTGCATGTGAACGACAAGTTTTGACAGATGTGCGTTAGCGTCCATAAGAATACAAATGGAATTCTTTGCCTTTGCGAACGTTCACGCTCACGCTCGCATTGAATTGTATAGCCAGCTTAACTAAATAGGGGTATTCTCTGAGTCTTGCAAAGCCCTTGCATGGTGCACAGATTGCACGGATTGCACGGTAAAAACCGGTTTTCGTATGGGGCAGCTTTGCAAACCGTGCAATCCGTACACCGTGCAAGGGCTTTGCAAGACTCAGAGAATACCCCTAATATAATTCTCCTTTCTGTGTTGCCGGATAAGAGGACCGGAAGTATTTTTGCGCAGAACTTCTTTCTGCGTAGGCGACCTTTTTACTAGCAGAAACTAGCAGGTGCCAAAATGAATAATAAAATTGCAGCGAGAGCGTAAACGCAAAATAGAGCGTAAAATTGAGAAGATAAAACATGTTGAAATAGTTATTGAACACAAAACTTTTAAATACCAGTGATGAAGTTGATGGTACAATTGTGCTTTTTTGGTAAATTTTTAATCTCAAAAGTACATTGGTACTACATCGACATTTTTGATACAATTTTGTCAAAACACGGCACTACGCCAAATTCTGTCGAAATACCACTGAGGATGAAAATATACTAATCTTTTTCCACTTTATACAAGTAAATACGAGGTTTTTATTAAAAACGACAGACTTGCGAAAATCAGTAAACAGTTGCTGTAATAATATAAACCGAAGAAAAGACTAAATATTTTAGTGAAACTATGATTGCATTAAATCCAACTCTTTTTTGTAAAGTTTTCGTGTTACTTGCACTTTATAAACTTACTTGTGTGCTTTTGTCGATTGCGTTGATATATATTCATTAGTATTGGAAACTTAAGAGTACAACTTCACAAAATGCTTTTCTTGCGTTCAGAATACGGGTTTTGATGACCTTTTTAAACTATTCATGGTCATCGATGATATTCAGCCCTACAGCATGCTTACCTATCACGCAATGACCAGTGATAACTCCCACCAGAAGTGAGAAGTGTAACTTGCTTAGTCTCACCTTGCATTCCAAGGTCTTTGTCCAGCGCACGCTGATCTGACTAAACGCCCATCCGTCCAGAAGTAGACCGCATGAGGTCAGGGGAGCACCCAGACCTTGAAAAATTTCTCAAGTGTTTGCTGCATTGTAGAGGTGTTACACTCGAGAGGAAAAAATCCGAAGCCTCCTGTATTGGGGCTACCTCTGCTTAGAAAACACGAAAAGGGTTTTCACGCTCTGGGCACTTTTGGCACTTGTGAGAGAGTAACTTATTTTCACGCTCTAATTACCGAAACAGCACGCAAAGCGTATGGAACATACCTAGTATGAAATTCCAGGAAGTCGTTGCCGTACGCAAGAATCTCTCTCACTAGCAGAGTTGCCAGGACTACTAAAATAAAAACGCTAGATCTGCCAAATAAAAAAGCCAAATTTCCCCAAAAAGTATAAAAAAGGCCAGCTTTTTCAACATTTCATTAACTCTTACATATGTACAAAGAGGTCGTGAACCGGATGAAAATTTTGGTCGGTTCGGTTTAGCGGTTCGAACCGTTTTTACACTTTTGGATTGGTTCGAAAAAGCGGTTTTTTAGTCTTTGAACCGGGGTTTTGGTTCGGTTCAACGGGTCGGAAATAAAAAAAAAAGAACGCGCAAGTCTAAGTGTAAAGTGTCAAGTGCAACAACGCGCTAGGTTAAATTTCAAGTGTATGTTAAATGAGTCGAGTTGCCTTTACATTTGATATTGTCACATGGTAAACAAACATGGTATGTATTACCAAATTTAACGAAAAGAAACAAAAGCGTGTACATTTATCTATTGAAAATTGGTTTAAACGAACCTTTAAGCCTTTATGAAAAGTGGTTCGGTTTTCGGTTCGGATCAAACATTTGTGGAAAAATTCAGTTCGGTTAATGGTTCAGTTAATTATTAGAAAAAATCGGTTTTCCGGTTCAAACCCGGTTCACGTCCCTGGAGGAAATGAAATAAATCGGGTTTTTATACAATTATTTATTTTAAACCAAATAAACAAATTTACATATTTAACATGTAACAAAACATTAATCTATGTTGTAATTTTCTTAATTTCGTTGCTGAAGCTTTGCATCCGCCCCCTTGTAGATATATGTATTTCGTGCTTTTGCACTCAGGAAAGAAGTAGCTCAATTTTTAGTTTCTTGATTTCAAATTTGAAAAAATAGGTGTATATTTTTTCGGTACAGAACAATCCTAGGGGGGTGAGAGTATTAAAATGCCGACTTTATTTTTGACCACCCTAATACTACGTTTAAATTGACGAGCTAAACATGTTAAATGGGCTTGAACGAGCTAAATGAACAAAACATGTTCATAAACAAGTTAAATCGCATGCAATTGTTGTTGGAAAATTGAACCAGTTAAATCATTTAACTCGTTTGAAAACCAGTTCAACGCAGAGTTGTATCGCAAAGCTTTCTGCTCCGGCCAATCAGAAAGACCCAAAAGCTTTCATTTGACACGCCAACGTTCAAAAAATGTATATTCTGAAACATTAAAAATGAAAAATTATTAAAATTGTATGCATGTCTGCCCGCCAAAAAAGAGGCCAAGACGGTAGTTAGTTACTTCCCTTGAGGTCTCATCGTACTAAACACTTTGAAGTCTAAGTAATCCGTATGCGTTAATATCATGAAGCAACCATTCGCACAAAACAAACTGAAACCAAAAAACTTGATTTTGAATATTTTTTTTCGAAATTTTAATGGTAAGCAAACAACCGTCAAAGTTAACTCCAAATGGTCAATGTGGACGATTGTGTTTTCCAAAAAGCTCCTTTTCATTTAACAAATTAAATGCGGCCAATTTGAACGTAATATAATGTACATGTCCTTATAATATTTTTTCGTCATGTTTTACAGTAAGTTTTATATCCAAAATAAGTTGGTTCGCGAAACTTTTAGCAACAATTTTCGGATTGCCATCGCAACTTTACATATTTACCGGTCTTTAATTTCACAGAAGATGTTGGTCGCTTGTTTTGCATATATTAAGATGTATGAAATTCAATTTTCTTTGTGCTCAAATCGAAGAAAAATTTTCTTTCAACTTTATAAATTATTATTATTTTTTTTGAGGATTAGGTATGGTAGCATGAAATGTCACAATCTGCTTAATTGCCATGTTGTTTTAATATGGCTTACGGTCATGAAATTTCATGAAAGCCACTTTTGAATGCCATACCGTTTAATAAAACCTTTTTAATAATAAAAGTACGATCGCACTAGGCGACGCGACACGACACTACACAGCGCGGCAAAATATTCTTTGCATGTATTCTTATGGAGCATACCGCACTACGCTGCAGCGGAGCTACGCGACGCGACGCTGCGCGGCAAAGTTGACCAACTAGGCAAAAATGTCGCGCCGCGTGGTGTCGCGCAGTTGTGGTGCCGCATAGTGCGGTATACCTAGCGGAACGACATAACATTTCGTACTATATTTTTAACTTGAAGTAATTGGATTTCCAATTTTGAGTCAATATTCACATGCATTTCATTCAAGAAGAAATTTGTATGTAAAGAAACATAATATTTGAGAACAATTCGCCAAGGAAAATAAAAATAAAAGGCATTAACATTACATCAGCGTCACTGGCATCCATCTTGTTTGAAGGTTTTGACACAAATAAATTAAAAAAATTGCAGCGAAGTGTCGCGCCGCTGCAGTTTCTGTGCGATATACCAAAAAGTGTCGCGCCGTGTCGCGTAGTGCCGCTGCAGTGTCGCGTCGCTTAGTGCGGTCTTACCTTAAAGGGGACTCTTTAGGGTCTGAAATCCCATACTCCTTAAAGACAAAGTAGTGGTACATTTGTACCACCAAATATCTTCAGACATTGCAATACGATTACTATCGTGAATGTTGCAATTGGAGCGCGCATAGTTAAGAGCAAACACGCAAACGAAGCGGACTAAACGGCGAAGTCGATTTCTATTTGACAAACTTTTAACTCGACATGAGTGCTTCAAAGCATACCTTCAACGATTCAAACACGAACCGGAACCCATATGCGACTACTGCGAAGGAGATGTAATAGAATACGTCCTTTTTGAGTGCATGCGATTTCACAGTACCAGATGCAAGCTTCGCAACACATCTGGCGAGAGTTTCACACTTGAGTCACTCGTGGAGGCTATGCTACAAAACAGCGAAAAGTTGTCGACAGCATGTGACGCAATAGCAGAGGGGATGAAGGGGCTAAGGACATCCGAATGTCTACGGCATAGCAGCGGCGACTAACTACCTTTCTCCCTCACGATGTAGTGATTGACGTCATTGCCGTGGGGTGCCGTCTTCCCTGGTTTTATAGGGGCACTTGAGAGCCCCTGAAAAAACTGTTAAAGTATAAACAGAACGAGTACGCTGAGTAAATTTCGCCGGACGGAGTGATGCCGACGGGTGATAAATATTTGCTTAACATTTCGTCAAGTAAAACTGAATCAGAACAATAATTTAGTGCAACTACAAATATTGTAGAGGATTGTCCTTAACAAAATGCTAGTTTGAAAATAAGAATAGGCTAGAAAAAAGCCACACAAGAAACAAAGAAAAAAGCTAGATCTAGCCTCAAAAAGGCTAAACTGGCGACACTGCTTACTGGGAACAGTTTTGAGAGGGTAAGACAGAAACCCTTCTCAGCCAGAAGTTACAGGCCGGGTTGCCACTTGTAAAAAAAAAACAACAACCAAAATCTGAAGAAAAAGAACCAAATTGAAAAATAAACAACCAAATTTGTCATCCACTTACATATCTATTACAAAAAGCAAAACTTATTACAAAAAACGAAAGTTCAACAATTTTATTGAGATGACGGAAAATCGTTCCACATGACATTACACTCCTACCCTGTCAGGCCCGTCAGAATGTAGAATACTTGTACGTCAATACCGGAAAAGTATACGAAGGATGTGTCATACGTAACGTAGAGATACGCCACAAAGGCCCAGGAAGTGCGCAATTTCAACAGGGACATGCGAAGAGGTGGGGTGAATCTCCGCATGCCGGGCACTTCATTTATTCTGCTCCCGTCCACATCAGGTGGTTGTGTGCCCAGAACAGCATTCACAGGTCTATAGTCTATATAACTCGAGATCGACTCCCTGTGAATGCCGTTTAGGGCCTGTCAAGAGGTTGTTTTATGAACCTCTGGACTTCGTCCAAGGCAATTTCCAACAAATCCGTTCCTTGGTTATCATATTCGAATAAAATTTTGCACAGCTTATTTTTTCCGCCCGGTCTAATGTACATATTGAAATATTATGTATGTACATATGTATTTCTACTTTTGATTGGATCTTTTTATTATGAACTTCTTGTGGTTGGTGTTAAATGATGATTTAATATACATACATACATATGTATGTACTAGGGTTAGAAAAAGTGCAGCGAAAGATGTGATTTATGTACATGTGTAGATATACATAGATAGAGAAAGCTAAATACACAAACTTGACACCAACACACATACTACATACTACATACTTACATTTGGCGGACAAAGGCATTTTCTTTTGAAGCCTTTGTGTTTGTTTGTTAGGCACGTCTACAACTACAATTATTTATGCTTGTCTTAATAAAACATATTTCTCTATTGACTTACATATACATAGTTTTTTTTTTTATTATACTCTTCTTAAAAGTAAACACATATTATACTTTAACATTTATAAGAATGCAGTTACTAATTTAAGGCTCGTTTTTGTACTACGATAAATCAAAAAATTAAAAATTGATTAATTTCAAGATATTTAACAATAATGACATACATACATAACGAGTACGACATAAAACAGTTTTTTTTTGTAAAAAGGAAATTATAGTTGTTAAGAAACAAAATTAAATTACACAT